CTTTACTGGCAACTTAAATAATGTATCTTTTAGATATTTTGCTATTTATACAGTTTCTGTATAGTTATATGGGAAGCCAATCCTAAATATTTATAATAAATGAGTGCTATTTAAGGTTCAAGCTGGAATTCACCTTGAGGCACCAAGGCAATTCTTAAAGGTTTACCTTATTCTTGCATTGTATTTGCTGACCCCTCCCTCCTAAGTCAAGGGGAAGGTTTTCAATAGAAAGAACTTGGCTTCATTTTCGCTGAATTCTCTTTGTGATTTACTTCCTGATAATTTTCAATAAAGATACAGGGAAGCTGGAATGGCGGTCTTCAGTGGACAACTGCTGGTCCCCTGTTTCTTATGCTCTCTTTTCTATCTCATACTTTGTTGTCTATCTCATTATTAATAATTATAAAAATACTTTACCCTTGGTCTACAACATAGTTACACATTTTTCACCCATTTTTTATGAGTAATATTCCACATAATTATGTACAATAGAGAGGAGCTGTGTATCTTAAGTTGGGTTCATTGGCAAGAGAAAGGATTCATGATGGTGTTAAAGGAGAAACCATTAAAAACAGAGGAATGAAGGATAGGTTTATAGTAGAAGCTAAACCAAGATTGACTGCAGTTGAATTCCATCCTCAGATGGTCTCCCAAGCTATTCTAATACGTGAATGGTATTAAAAGCTTATTCCTTCTGAAGGCGGGGCGGCAGCACCTTTGTACTCCCAAATTCTCATTGGCTATACTTACTGCTTTTTGAAAGAACAGGAGCAGAAAACTTTCACTTGAGATTGTTTCTGCATCAGAGGACAAGTGCCTGGAAATCCATACAGGGGAACAATATAAGGTTCAAGCAGCCCATACTCACAATAGCTTGGGGATGGAACACCTTTCTGGCAAAAAGGATCTAGTAGGGTATCATATGGTTCACTCCTGGCACACAGATGCACCAATTTTTTCCATTAAATGCACATCAGCTGATTTGTCAACAAGTCTAAAGAAACCCATGAGGGTTGTATGCAAACCCAGTTTAAAAAATAAAAACATTAATAAAAATTTTGCAAGGGGTTTAGTTTTTAAGTTGACCTAATTCAGACATTTAAGTAGGAGTGTCATACACTTCCACAATAGCTTGCCTCTGGAAACCCTATGGACCCGGAGAAACGACGGAAGTTATACAGGAGGTGTCCAGGACTTTTGTTCATAGAGTCGCTATGTGCCACCTGCGACTTGAGGGCACTTAACAATACCATTACCACCACCAAGAAAGAGAGAGAGAGAGAGCACAGTTGGATTAGCTGACAGAAAGCCATGTTCCCAAGCCAAAGGTGGCTGACTCTACTCTGCGTCACTCAGGCCTGTCTTTAATTGTTTTTGGTGAAACATTCTTCTAGGTCATGTAACCTTGGTATGTACATTTGCTGTATAGAGGTAACTCGTGGTTGCTGTGAAGCCGAACACTGTGACACTGATGAGTCAAATGCGAGAATGGTGACCCATGGTGGACAATGTTTGGTGAAGCTCCCCGATTAAACAAGCTTGGAAGCAGGAGAAGAATCCACTGCCACAATAGCTTGCCTCTGGAAACCCTATGAACCTGGAGAAAAGACGAAAGGTATACAGGAGCTGTCTAGGACTTTTCATTCATAGAGTCACTATGAGTCGTGTGTGACTCTAGGGCACTTAACAACAACAACAACAACAACAATTAAGACACTTAAGGATGCCTTTGGAGATGACCAGCTCCCTCTATTTCATGGAGGATTTCCTCGTTTTAACACTGAAATTTCCATATTTTTGGAACCTCTTTTCTCTGTCCTGAATGAATGGGCTTAATTGGCAAACCTTGGTGATTTATTTGTACAATTAGAGGAAGTAGGGACATATACACTAGCACTGGTGATTCTCAGATAAATATGCCAAGCTAAAGATGCAAAGCAGGAAAGAAATAATGCTGGAAATGCCCATTAGTTTGACGTTCTAGATCAAACACAACTAGTCTATCATGAAGGAAATGTTGGAACTGTTTTGCCCATGAAATGCCCCTCAAAGAAATCTAAAAACACGTCTGAAATTTCAAGAGCGTTTATTATATTATTTCCATGTGTGGAGACCTTTTTCCCCTCCTCAGGAAGGTGGTGAAGGAAAAAAGCCCTGAGTTTCCCCTCCCACTTGCTTTTATAGCTCCTTTGAGTGCCCCTGTTAGGGCAGGGGGATTGCAATCATGGTTGGTGGGCTGGGGAATTAGTCATTTGGATTGACTTTTGACAGCCTGACTACTTTGCCCACGTTTACTCCTTCTGTGTCACGTATACACTAGTTAATCCTTTATCTTGCAAGGACAGGCAAGGTCTTACCCGGGGCAATCGTGTTTGCCTTAAGCTAAGAATTTTTATGGCCTGCTTCTGCTTCTGGTATTAATGGGGGTTTATAAAAAAATGGGGTTTCTGCTGTCTCTTCAGGAACGATAGTTGCTCCCGTGACAGTGCATAGCTTAATGAAGGGACATGATATTTTCTAGGGTAATGTAAATATTCTTTATTGCAACAGGTGTGTGCGGCTTATAGGCCCATATCCATCAAAACTCATCAAATAGTACATTTAGGACTTATACAATTCATATAGGGAATTTTATATGAATTGTAAAATAAATTCTACAGAGAAATAAAAATAGCAACTGGAAGTGTCTAAGAATCAATCTTTATACTCCTATCAAATTCTCATGGTGACTAACTTGCTTTAAGCATAATTTTGGTGCAGTTCTGAGTCTCTTTGATGTTGCCTTATTGTAATCTATTATGCATATGTGTGTATATTTCCAATATAATATGGATTTTTCACGGTTCCAGAGGGCTTTATTATCCCCAGTGACTTTCATCATGTGTCTCCCAGTTCACTCACTCCAGAAATTCTTTTATAAACAGAGCAGGAACATGACGTGGGCACAACTTCCTCCAAATTCGAATGAACAGAATCAAAGAGGTCTCAAAGAGTGGTCCTTGCACAAGGGGTGGTCAATATTATCAAGAGCACCTGTGTGAAATCCAGAGGTTCAGACCCACCAGCAATAGGATGCTCTGGGTGGGAGTGTTACCAGAAATTCCTGATGATTCTGTTGTGTTGTAAAGGTTGGGCTAGCACTAAATAGAGGATAAGTAAAATCAGTAATTCAATAATTGTGAATATACAAAAATCTTCTGAGATTTAAAATTGGTCAAAACAAAATCCCCAAACTTTATGCTATAAATTTTCTATCCCTAGAGATGAATTCTGAAAAAAAATGGTATATACTACTTATTAAAGCTCTGGTAGTGTAGCCTACAGGAATTAGTGCTCTTACCCCAAAGTCCTCACTTCTTTAGTGGTTCCAATTCCCCACTAGGTAAACTGGGGGGATCCTTTTACTATAATTGTAATATAGCCAATTGGGTATGGCCAGATTGTCAGATTCTTAAATCATTTCTTTTAGTATGCTAGCTGAGGCTGTCAGGAAATTAATAAAGTACTGTATAATTCTGTACAAAGTAAATAGAGGCAAACTAGAAGAATAATCTACAGATGAAGGAATTTGGGTATAATATTTGAACTGAGGTGTGATTTTCTGCAGGACAGTGGAATGTTCAGTTTTTGAGACGAATTGAGGAGATGTGGTAGGCACCAGGTCTGTGACTTCAGAAAAGTTTGAATCCTGAGCTTGGTCCTGACCTGTAGAAAGAACTGTCACCTCATTATATACTGGTGATTGAGTTACAGCCTCCTCGGGTGGTTGTAGAGATTGAGTTGGTGGCTCTTGCCGAGCTGTAGAAAACTCAACTTTTGTTTGGGGTTCTGGAGACAGAGTAAACTCCAAGTTCCAGGACTGAACAGCGATATTGTGCGCGTTTTAATGGTAAAATTTACCTTGACTTAGAGATGGAACTGAGGCTGGCTGTTAAGTTATCAAAGATTCTACCTGTGGCCGTGTTGGGATTTGAACTATAACATGTGCAAACAGCAGGGGAGTGCTGCATGGTTTGGAATTGGAAAGGGAGAGCGTCAGGGATGTATTCTGTCTCCATACCTGTTCAATCTATATGCTGAGAAAATTATCGGGTAAGCTACACTCTATGACGAGGAGTGTGGCAATAACCCTGTGTTATGCAGATTATTGTATTACTACCTTGATTGCTGAAAGTGAGAAGGACTTGAAACACTTGTTTTAGAAGATCAAGGAAGTCAGCTTTCAGTATGGATCTCAATGTTAGGAAAACAAAGATTCTTATCACTGGACCAATAGGCAGCATCATGATAGATGGAGAGGAGATTGAAAATGTCAACAGCTTTATCTTGCTTGGGTCCACAATTGACGTCCTTGGTACCAGCTGTCAGGAAATAAGGAGCAGCATTGCACTGGGAAAATCTGCAGTTAAGGACCTTTCCAAATTATGGAGGAGTAGTGATGTCAATTTGAAGACAAATGTGTGTCTGATTTGGGCCATGTTCTTTCTAATTACTAGCTATATATCTAAGACCTGGACAATGAATAAGGATGACAGAAAAAGAATTTATGCCTTTGAGCTGTGGTGTTGGAGAAGAGCACTGAACATTGCATGGACAGCCAAGAAAATGAATAGATAGGTTTTGGAGAGGGTGCAGCCAGCGTGCTCTTTGGAGGCAAGAATGATGAGGCTTTGTCTAACATAATTTTGACATCTTGCTAGGAATTGGTATTCCTTGGAGAAGGACATGATGTTGGGAAGGGTGGAGAGTCGGTGAAGGAGAGGAAGACCCTCAACCAGGTAGATTTACAAGGTGACTGCAGGACAGGACTGGTTTTCGACCTTTTGTTCATGGGGTTCTATGAGTCCTACTAGATTCAATGGCAGCTAACAACAACAACAACAATAATTAGGAGGCTCTGGGGACAGGATTGAAGTCTCCTGCTTTATTGCAATTAGTGCAGTCTCTGTATTTGCTTCTGGGTAAATGGTAATCTCTTAGTCCAAAGGGTGAACTGTGGCTCAATTTATAGGAGGAACTGTGCTTTTCTGGAGGGTTATAGAATGTACAACCTTGGTAGTGGGTTCTAGAGTTATGGTAAGCTCCAAATTTTTAGGTTTAACTGTGACTTTACGCAAATTTGAATGCTGAACTTGAACCTAATCTTATGGTGAAGTTGTCATCTCATGTTCACTTGAAGATTAGCCTGAACTTTTTGAAAAGACTCTAGAGATTGAGTTAGGGTCTCATGTCTTGTTGGACAAAGTTCAATGTCCATATTGGATTCTAGAGTTACAGTAATTTCCACATCCACTGGCTGAACAATGACCTTAGTCAGATTTGGCTGCTGACCATGTGCCTGGTCTGCATATAGAGGTGTCACTTCAGGGTACTTTGAAGGACGTGTGGTTTTCTGCTGGGCTGTAGAATGCTCAATCAGTATAGATGTTGTTGTTGTTGATTGCCTTCGAGACGAGCATGACTCATAGTGACCCTGTGAACAAAAGGCCAGAAACCCCTCTACAACTGTCGACATTTATCAAAGTTCATGTGGTAAGACGCAGGTTCAAAGGTTTACTATTCAGGTTTGGTTGTTGATCTTGAAACAAGAATTGGTCACCTCAGGAAAATTTGAAGAAGGTAGTGTAGACTTTTGTGGGGCTGCAGAATTTGTCATGGCAAACTCTAGGCACAAAAGGTTGAGCTGTGACAATAGGGATATTTACATGCTGAGCCTGATATTGACCTCTTGGTGAAACTATTGCTTCATGAAGCACTGGAGCCTGAGCTACATCCCCTTAGGAGGTTCCAGGAGTTGGACTGGGGTTGCCTTCTGGGTTGTCAGAGATTCCATCACTTTGAGAGTCTCTGAAGGTAGTGCTAGAGCTCCCTGCTGGTTTCCAGATTCTAACTTATGTAGAAGGGCTCACTTGGTTGGCAAGGGGTCCCCTGCTGTCCTGGTAAAGGTTTAATCTCTTTGGAAATCTCAGGAGTCTGAGGTAAGACCTGAGGAAGTGTTGGAGAAGACTCTGTAACGTTAGGGGGTTTTATGGAGATGGGGCAGAGGCTATCTGCTGGACATAGATGGTTGCACATTCTCAAAGGGCTCTGGAGGTTGAGGTGTGGCCATCTCTTGAACTAGGGCAGGTTCTAGCTCCTTTGGAGCCACTGAAGACACAGATGGGACCTCCAGATGCTATGAAGATGGAGACTTGCAGAGGGGGCTCAAGAGCCTGAATTGGGCTCCCCTGCTGAGGTTCTGTGTTCTGGGGTGCCTGTGGATTCTGAACTGGGACCTCTTGCTCTGTTAGAGAAGGTTCTGCCTGTGCAGGAGGTTCAGCAGACTGTATTGGGACACACTGCCGAGCTGGAGAAGGTTCAGTCTCCTGAGAGGAATCTGGAGGCTGAGATGGGGCCTCTTCCTGATGTGAAAGAGGTTCTACATGCCCCGAGGACTCAGGGACAAAATTGGGCCTCCCTGCTGGAGTAGAGAAGGTTCAGTCTCTTGGGGGTGAGGAGCTGTGGATTCTGAGACAGGAACTATCACTGAGTTGGAGGCTCTATATATCCAGGGGGTTTAAGTGACAGAATTGGGGACCCAGCTAAGCTGAAGAAGGTTCAACTTCTTGGGGAGGTTGTGGAGTATGAAATAGGACCTCTTGCTAATTTGGGTAGGTTCTACCTGGGCAGGGGGATCAAAAGGCTGAATTAGGACCCACTGCAGCTCTGGAGAAGATTCAGTCTCCTTTACAGGATCTACAGGCTGAGATGGTCTTCTGGCTGGGAAGGACCAGGCCCGATCTCTGTAGTTGGTTGTGGAGGTTGAGATGGAATCTCTCGCTGAGCTGCAGAAGGTTCTACTTGCTGAGAAGACTGAACAGGGCTCCCTGCTGAGCTGGAGAAGTACCAGTTTGGGGGCTGGATGTGGAGTCTGAAAAGGGACCTCTTGCTGCACTGGACAGGGTGTAACCTCCTTATGGGTTTCTAGAGGTGGAGATGAGGTCTCTATCAGGCCTATAGAACATCTAACCTCTAATGGGCAGTGAAGTTATAGTAAGCACTAGTAGATCAATTGCCTCAATTGGGGCACTGGGAAATACCAGAGGCTCAACTTCGCTCCGACCTGCACTTGAAACTGGCACCTCATTATGCCCTGGATGTTGAGTTTCAACCTCTTTAGGGGGCTCTGCAGTTGCCGCTAGCTTCTCCTGGGTATTTGAAGGGGATCCATTCTCTTCAGGTTGCTCTGGAGGTTGAGCTGAGGCTTCTTGCTGGCCCAAAGGTTATGGGACTGATTCGGTGTAATTCACAGGTTCTGTTGGATTATCCTGTTGGACTGCAGCACTTTCAACCTCTGTGGGAGACCCTCTGGGGCCTCCTGCACAGCTGCAGATGTTCATCCTCTTCATGGTTGCTGGTGTTGTCATGAGTTCTTCAGCTGGACTAGAGAGAGTTCGCACTCTGTAGGCCACTCTGAAGACTGAGCCGGGGCCTCTGGCAGGACTGTAGGTGGTTCTCCTTCTTCCATGGGCCCTGGAGGCTCTGAAGTGTACTCTCACTGACTTGGGAAAGGTTCGATCTTGTCAAGAGGCTCTTGAGGTTGAGTGGTGTTCTGCTGGGCTGGAGAAGGTTGAACTCTCATAGCTGGTTCTGAAGTAATGGTGACCATCATATATGGAGATTTCACTGTGGCATTGGACAACACTTTCTTTACATTGGGTTTTACTTTGACTTGAGATGAAACTATAATGTTGCGATACCCTGTTGCTTTTGAAATTCCTGCCTCTTTAGGGGGATTTGGAGGTTGAACCAGACTCTCTTGCAGGATGGGAGAGACTTGCTCATGGAATTCTGAAGGATGAACTTGGTCCTCCAGCTGTGTTGAAAGCTGCCACACTCCTTAATGGGGTCTGCCAGCCGTGTTGGCATCCATTTGCACTGAGTGTTCAACATCTTCATTGACATTTGGAAGCCAAGCTGAGTCTTGCCAGGGAGTAGAAGTTCTACCTTCCTATTATACTCTGTAAGTTGTTGTGGGTCCTTCTGTGCAATGACAGAAGATTGAGAATCCTCAGGAGAATCTGGGTCTAGAGGCTGAAGTGGGTCGTCCTGTAGGAACGAATGAGATGTGACTATCTTAGGTGGATCTGGAGTCTGAACCAGGCTTTACTCCTCAGTTGGAATAGATTTTATCACTTTAGAAGATTCTGGAGGCTGCACTGGGGCTTCCTGCTTTGTTGAAGTATGCCAAATCCCAGGTTTAGCTGATATTTTTTTTGGCAAAATGAAATGAACTTGAGGTTGACCTCGAGGCTGGATTTTCACTCCATCGTGCAATGAAGGCAGAGTTAAAGCTGCATTTGGTTACACTGGGTGATGTACGGGAACCTCTAGTTGGAATGGAGACAGGTCATTGTCCTCAAGGAGCTCTGAAAGTTTACTCAGGTCCTCCTGCTGGGTTGGAGGCTTCACCTCAGGCGTCTCTGGAGGCTGAGCTGGGACATTATGTTGAGTTGGAAAACTCTGAACCTCTGTAGTGGGTTCCGGAGTTAGGATAAGCTGCATATCAGCAGGTTTAACTGTGACAGTGGGCAAATTTCAAGGATGCATTTGATTCTTCCCAGCAGGTGGCACCTCATGATTTGTGGTGGTTTGAGTTACAACCACTGTAGGAGGCACTAGAGGTTGAACTGGAGCCTCATGCTGGTCTAGAGAAGGCTCCATCTCCTCAGGGAGCTTTGCACCTCCCAACTGTACTGGGGAAGGTTCAGCTTTTTCAGTCGGCTTTGTAGCCAGAGGGATGGGGGTGGGGGGTACCTGCGGGCTTGGAAAAGGTTTAAACTATGGAGAGGCCTGGGAGGCAATTCTGGGGTTTCTGGTTGCACTGGCGATTCTATCCCCTTAGGGAGCTCTAGGGGGAAACCTGGAGCCTCTTCCTGGACTGAAGGGCATCCAGCCTCCCCCAGGGTGCTCTGAAGCAGATATTGCACTGCAGCTCCATGCTGGACTGGAGAGGGCTCTCCTGGCCCTCAAACCCTGACTTAACAAAAGGATGGGTGAAGAAGGATCAAGATCTCACGTTATCATTGCAACCCTCAGCCTTTTTCAGAAGCTGCTGTAGCCACTGCAGCCATCACATTGGCTCAGGGCTCTGGCCCCGCCCCCAGCCCAGGAAGCCAATGGTCGAGCCAAATGGCATTAGGGAGCTGCGCAGCCGTTGTGGAGCGGGAGCAGCCGTTAGTGGACGTTGTGGGACAGGAATGACCGTTAGACTCGCGGCTGTCTCCTCCCTACCTCTGGAACAGAATTGTCTGGATCAAGGACTGGATCAGGCACCAGCCTCACCACTGTCAGCAAATCCTGCTTTCTGGGTTCCTGATTTTGCTCGGCCACAGCCATGTGTGTCATCATGGATCCAACACTTCTCCTCCCTCAACCACAGGCTTGGAAAATAGGACCTATATGCCTCCCCATCTCTGCCTCTCTGAGAGGGTCAGCGCAGCCAAGCACCAGGAGTCCTGACCCAGGGTGGGGCTTCCCCCTTGATTTAAGTTGGACAGGACTGAGTGCATTCTGGACAATGAAAGATTGATGTTTGAGCAAGATGAGAGGCGAAGAAAGAGAAATCAGTATTTCCTTGGTGTTCATTTTAAGTAAGGAGGAACATAAGCTCTACTTGTGAGATCCACCTAGGAATGGTGACTGGTTTTGGCAGTAACTGGCCCTGCAAGAGCATCAGTGACTTGGCGCAACATCCTCTGCCCCTAAACTCAGTACATAAAGCCCTGGGTTATTCCACCTGCTGTCTGCAGGGACTATAAGGACCTCCTTAGAATAATCTCCTGATCTGCCTGTTTTGAGAATCCTCTCATCCTCTCTTAACCCCTCCTCTCTGCAGAGTTGCTGCCTTTTGGTACCCTCTCATCTCACTCTGTTTTCTTTTAGGACCACACACCCTTTGGTCACGGAGTAAAGCCATGGAGTTTTCAGGAGCAAAAGGAGTGAAAAGACACACACATACTGAGTATTTCCAGAGGAAAAGAAAGAGCACAAATGGACTGTGAACCCACCTACCAGGCTCCAGGTCAAGGGTCTGGAAGGGGAGTACCAGAGACCAAACCACATTAATGTGACTTGAAACCCAGCTAACGAACGAGAAGTGTTACTTGAAAAAGAGTTATGGTGAGACTTGAGAGGAATGTCTGACTGATATCCTGGACTTTTGAGCTGAGCCTTCCAGGTGCTTAGGGTGAAAGAGAATGCAAGTGAAGGGACTGTTAGTCACCACCACCTGTCTGTCAGTTGCAATGACTTGTGTGTAGTCACATAGTATTAGAAGCCATGCCACTTCTATTTGAGATATTTTTGGGATCACTGATGATGGACAGATTTCAATGGAACTGTCAGACTGAGACAATAGGAAGAAGACCTGGCAAGCTATTTTAAAAAATCAGCTGCTGAAAACCCTATGGTTCACAACAGAATCGTGTCCTACTGAGCCCCTGAAGATGAGCTCCCTGTGTTGGCAAGCACAATCCTATGGCTGAAACAATGTACTCTTAACATGTCAACTCTCATGAAAGTGGCATAGGCCGAAATGATAGCTTATCAGTGTTGAGCATAAGGTCATCATGACTAAGGAACTGACTTTATAGATACAAGAAATTCTAGTAGCAAATAAAAAATCTAGTACAATAAGAATTAGGTAAATGAGGTAAAATTAAGTAAAACTTATGTTACCAATAGAAGACAAAGGTCAAATGTAAATGATCAACATCAGATGCTTCTCAATCAAAAGTAGGGAACCAATAATGTTGGACCAAAGTACCTGCCAATCCTCACATGTGTAGCAGAGGCTGTTCCCAGAGCAACCTGATTAATGTTTAGGTGCATGAAAAACTCATCATGGAACAATGACATCAGGAACAATGGACCAGAGTACGATCCACACACCAGATTTTGAAGCCTTCATGACGTCATCCCCTTGGACCCAGGCTCAAACCCAGAAGCAGACAGAAATGCAAAAACGAGTCAGATTCATCAAGACACAATGGCACAATGTCTTTCTTTGCTTCTTTAGTTCCAGAGAATGACCCATCTCTCTCTGGGATGTATCTTTTCTAATAGAAATGCCTTTACTTTCACCTTCATTCCTGTCTCCTTGCCACATGCTATAATAAGAGCTCACTCCATGCCAGGATTATTTTGAGCAGGACAAACAATGTAAAGAGGGCTGGACCAGGCCAAGACTGGATTTGTCTTCAGCCAATCTTCCTGTTATCTCCTACTGGGTCCAATTTTTCGTCTGAGAAAGGGTGACCAAAGCAGAGCATTTACTGCACAGCAACATTTTGGTGCTGAAACCTGGGATCACTCATGAACCCTGGTTCATGCAAGGAAACCCAGGTCGTTCAAGGAAACCTGAGATCAATCAAGAGGACTCCAAAACCACTCAAGAGGATGGATCCTTCAGCACCATCAAAGTAGATGAAAACATCTAAGTGGTAAGAAAATTTCCCAAACCAGTCAGTTTGGGGTTTGCAGTAGATGGGATAGAGAGGTTTAGGATCTGTTCTGTTTGTCCACCGCCATGTGGGGATGCATTCTGTTTCATCTCTGCTCTGTCCATGTGGTAGGTCAACATGTTTGCCAGCATATAAAAGAAAGAGAAATGAGTCAGCTGTTGGGATTTGTTCCCCCAAAGAATGTCCCCCAAGGTTCGTGTTCACAGACGGAAAAACTGACTTGGAAACAGACATTAGTTTTATTTTATTGGAACAGGAAACATGTAAGGCTTTTAATTCCCTACATTTCCTTAAGCCTTTTACATTTACAAGACTAACCTTTGGCTAAAAAAAAAAAGCAGTTTAATAAGGATAAGAATGCACTTGTCTCTAGACTAAGGATAAGGATAAAAATTAAGGCTTTACAATAAGGCAAAGAACATACTATCTTATCTCTCAATGGATATAAATCCCATGTATGTGTTAGTTTCTCCTTCACAAATGGACTGTAGAGAAGTTTTTCTTTTGTGTTTAACAAAGGCAGACAGAGATTGTGAGGATGTCCTTCATTCTGTTGTTTTAGGGTCATGGTGAGTTGTAACCAATCCCATGGCAGCTAATAACATTTAGAAAAAGGTTGGAACATTTCTGGTATGTTTAAATAGTATAGAACTTTGTAGCTTTATTACTTTACCATCAGTAATGACACTTATTTGTCATACGACAAAACAGTTGTTGTACTGAAATCCTTAACACAAGTCTCTTCTTAGCAGTAAGAAGCTGCATTGCAATCCCAAAGGCACACAATTCAAATCCTCCAGCTGCTTTGTTGGAGAAGGATGGGCAGTTTTCTCTTGTGAGATTTTCTGCCTCTCAAAACCCACTGGAAGGGTAGCTGTGAATTGGTTCCAACTCCAGGCACATAACAATAAAGCTCTTCTATTGGTAGGTAAATACTTCTGTTATAACATTGTACACATAGTCCATTTGTTAACTATTTAAATGTTAACTTAATTCAATGATCATTTTCTGTAAATAGCACTCTAACACAATTCTAAATTTCTGTTCTTTAGGCAATAAGCAGAAATTAATTAACTTTAATTCCTCTTGTTCTAATAAACAGACTTCTTAAAATGCTTTATGTATTTTTTTTTTCACTGAGGTAATGTCTGACACTGAGTATCACTTAATTTCTGGCATAAATCTCTTGCTTTTTCTAAGTCTAGATTCTGCACCTGGCTTCCAACCTCAGCTCTTTGGGCTTGAGTTAGAGGTCTGAAGTGTCTGTCATCCTTGGATTCTTCAGCAACTACAGCTCATAAGGGGCAGTTTTGCTCCTGGGATCTGGCATGTGGAGCTGTTCTACATGCACATGAGCCATTTTCCTTAAGGTAAAAAGCTCTCTTTTTTCTATCCTATGCATATGATTTTTACTTATCTAGAAAATGCAGCTTAAGAAGATATACACAAATGTCCAAGGTATATGTTTAAAGTGGTAATACACATCTCAAAGAACATTAATTTTAAAGTATGATTTTTTGTTTGTTTTTGGGATTTTTTTTGTCTGTGATTTTTTTTTAATTTAAATTTAGCATTAAATTCAGTAAATATTTACAGAAACTTTAGATTTCCATTCAGTCATTGTCACACTTTTCTCCCCTCCCAAACCTCCCCCTAGTACACCTACCCTCTTGGAAAAGTAAAAGAAAAATTATTTTATTGTTTTACAATCACTCCCCCAGGTCCACTCCACCATGAAGCCTTTGCTCTAGAATCCTGTCATGACAAAAATACCTAAGCACATATTCCTTTTAAACAGTTTTCTCTCTCATCTGTTTCAGTGCAGTATATGTTATTGAAACCATCTCTCTCAGTCTCCCCCTTACCCCAATGTCAGTCCTGTTTTACAACAGTTGGCACCATGTAGTATTTGTGCTTTTGTGACTGAGATAATTCACTCAGCATAATTTCCTCCAGAGTCACCCATTTTGAATAATATTGCGTGAGTTCCTTGTTTTTCAATGCAGCGTAGTGTTCCATTGTGTGACTATATCACAGCTTCTCTATCCATTCATTTGTTGATGAGCTTAA